TCTTGACTTGTTTGAAACAAAGATGGGCGAAATAGAAACCATAACTAAAAGTTTGAGATATGCCCAATGAGCCTCCTCAGGGTGGTTCCAGAAGTTTTGACCATGATGATGATGGCCATCTTAAAAGAACAGGTATTATTTTCTTTTCATCTATTTTTATATTATGTTTTTTATGATTTTGGCTTTATTTTAGCTAATTTTTACGGTGTTATGTGTATTTGAATAGGAACTGTGTGGATTACAAGTGCTCACATAATAACAGCAGTGATTGGTTCTTGAGTTCTGTCCTTGCCTTAGGCCACTGCTCAACTGGGATGGGTAGCTGGTCCATCTCTGATGATCTTGTTCGCAGTTTTGACTTGCTACACCAGTGCGATCCCAATACTAGAAAAAGAAACTATACTTACATGGATGTTGTCATATCCAACCTCGGTAATCTCTCGAGTGTGGACGGCCCTAATATCACTGTTATATTTCATACTTATCTTCTTCTGATACTTGGAACTTTCAGGTGGATTTCAGGTGAAAATTTGTGGAGCAATTCAGTACTTGAATCTTTTTGGAGTTGCCTTTGGTTATACCATTGCTTTCTTTGTAAGCATGATGTAAGTAAGAGCAAGAAAAGCTCGGTTTCAGTGCAATTTTGCCGTTCAAAATCATTCTTGGAAATTTTACTGATTCATGAAAATTAATAAATAGGGCAATCAAGAAATCCTATTGCATCCATTCAAAAGGAGATAATAGTCCTTGCAGAATTTCAGGCAATCCTTACATGATCGAATTTGGTGCTATTCAAATATTTTTCTCTCAAATCATGGATTTCAGTCGAATATGGTGGCTTTCCATTGTTGCTGTAGTCATGTCTTTTATTTACTCAACTATTGGTTTAGGATTTGGAATTGCCAAAATTGCAGGTAGAGGAGGAACCCCTTTTTCATTTTTCTTTTATCTTCTGCTTTAAAAGCATTAGATTTATTTTTTCAAGTGTTGTAACCTAATATTTTTTGCTATAGAAAATGGGAAAATTAAGGGAAGTCTCTCTAGAATTAGCATTGGCATTGTCACTCCAATAAAAATAAAAAATGGAGAAGCTTACAAGCAATTGGGTATATAGATTTAGCCTATTCTTACTCTCTCATCCTTATTGAAAATAAATTATACAAAAATAGACAATATATAACGATCAATATTTTAACTTTACACTATTTAATTTTTAAAACACGTGCCTAATTTAATTTTGAGTTTTTATATTCCCAGATGAAGCAAGGATTTCTCTCGAGCAGTACGAGCTGAGGTTGTGAGTTTTGTAAGTCCCACAAGGAATTTTAGAAGAAAGCAATGTTGCTCTTAAACAAGTCCAAAATTCTTGAGGAAGAAATAAGCAATCTGAGTTGAGGTTGCAAGTGGTAAAATGCTTTTAGCCAATTTTTTTTATAAGAAATTTCAAAGCAATCCGGAATTGAGATTACAAGTGCTACAACACTTATCTAATTTTTATAAGAAATTTCAGAGAAAGAAATATGGATTAATCTAGCATAATCCTATAGTTACAAAAGTGGTAATTTTGATCTTTAACAGAGAAATCTTCAATTTGTAAGCTAATGAAAACACAATAAATACAAAACTCGTGCAACGCACGTGAAAAAGACTAGTTCTAATAAAATGATAGAATCACACGTGCTTTCATCAACTATGTATTATATAATCTATGTCATTTCAATTATTCTTTGTCACATTATCATCTTTTTTATCTTACATACGTTAGAGGTCCAAAGTTTGAGCTTGCTGCTTCGAAAATTAATCAAAATATAAAAGAAATCAACAGAACGATACAAATGACATTATTGAGAAGAAAACTATCCTTGTGTCGTTCTAATTTTAAAGATGATTATAAATAGTCATGGCCCATCCGTACCTCGTGAAACAGTATATTGAACTCATTTAAGTTGCAAGATAAAAATAACATTTACAAAAGTTGAGAAATATGCTCTCTAATGGAAATAAATAAAAGGGTTTGTGCATTCATCAACTTTATATCATATAATCTATGTCATGTCAACTGTTTTTTGTTACTTGATCAACATTTATGTCTTACGTACGTTAGGGATTCAATGCTCAAGGTCGTTGTGTTGAAAACAAATCAACATATAGAAGAAATCAACAGAACGACTTAAGTAACGATACTGAGAAGAAAATGACTTTTGTGTCGTTCGATTTTTAAACACGATTATAAATAGTACGCCTCATCCGTGCCTCGAGAAATAACAAGATAAATTTATTTAAGTTCTACATAACAAATAATTGTTGTACTACCCTTTTTTAATATAACGACTATAATGATGTTCCACACTGTAGATAATGGCTGGAGTGCCATTATCATCTAATAGTTGTAGAAAAAAAACACTGTACATACGAAAATCAGTAAGTTCAAAATGTCATTCCATATTATATTCAATAAGAAAAGTACATGTACATGAGATTTGTAAAAATACATATCTTGTGTCTTCAAATGCAATTGAAATTTCAATGTAGATAATACCAAAAGTTCCCAAAATTGATGAAGAATATAATGAAAAATGTGATTTTATGGTAGAAATCAGAAAGATGAAAGAGACGAAAATGGTTGATCATGATTTTGGGGCCCTAAAATTGAATTGGCAATGTAATTGAATCGATAAAGATGTTAGGCACCGTTTGATAGGCCAAAATTTTCTAGGGAAAGTGGAAAATCAATTCCAACTTTGAGTTTTAAGGGTGTTTGATACCATTTTTTTCCATGGAATTACATTTTCTAACTTTTCTTGGGAATTGAAGCTTTCTTTGTTTTGAAGATATGGTGGGATTGGCTTTCCCGGTTTACTGTAGCACTTGTTTTTCATTTTTTTTTAATTTGTAGTGGAAACAAATTTTAAGATTTATTGTAAAAAAATATTTTCCTTTAATTGATAATTTTCATATAAAACAAAGTTAAACGAACATCCAAAGATAGATGATTTTCTTAAATTTATTATTATTATTATTATTATTATTATTATTATTATCATCATCATTATCATCATCATCATCATCATCATCATTATTATTATTATCATTATTATTATTATTTTGGTTTTGGCAATTGAAACAAATTTCATTCCCAATACTAGTAAATTTTATCCCTTTAATTGACAATTTTCATATAAAATAAAGTCAAACGGACACCAAAAAACACTTTAATTTAAACATTTTTCATGTGAAAAATTATACAAATCAAACACAATAATTTATAATTCCCAGGAAAACATTTCCCATCAATTCAATTCTCTGAAATTCTTTTTCTTTCCACCCAAATTCCAACTTTGCAATCAAACGGACCCTTAATGTATTTTTCAACGGTGGGAATATTTATGACATTTGACATTGTTTATCTATGGTATTTTACAATTGGAGGCTATTTGACCAAGAATTCTTGGAAGCATATTATTTAACCAAATAAATGGTTTGACTGGGCTACTTAACCAATTCTCCTCATGTTTTTCACATTTACATCCTTAATACCACGTTAGACATTAGTCTTTTGGTAATGCACTTTATACAAATTGCCTTGTGAACTTTCTTGCCCATTTATAAAGAGCCAATTCAGTCCATCTTACTGAGCCTAAGCACCTGTGGGAAAGAAATCAAGGATTGAATGGTGGAAATGATCTAATCTTCTAATGGCCTTTTGTGTCACTGTCTCTACAACTAGAAATTTGGTAACCCGTTGTTTTAACTATTCATCTCGTAATGTGTCAATGGCTCGATCTAGTCGAATACAGTTTTTACTGATTCCATATTAATATAGAATTATTCCATATGTACCAAATGAGGGTACCAAATGGTGTGCCCCTCACAATGCATGCGGCCTCCACATGAATTTAAAAATGTCAACATGTGGTCCCCACCCCTGTTGTGAGTAGTAGATAAAAGATTCAACAAAAAAATTCAGTACGTGTAGCATTGTCCATTAAAATATATGAATCGAATGCATTGAGATGAATACAATGGAAGAAATCATAGAAACGTCTAAATATTACAAAACGAACCACCTTATTTGAAGGGCAGTGAAAGGAAAGATCCCATCGTATTACAGGGTAGTTTAACAAGCAACCAAACCAACGCAATGCAAAATCCATCCGCTTTCAAGCAGTTGTGTGAGCCTTTTAAGTGGGGAAAGATTGAGGTAAATATATGATAGCTAGAACTTGGGAGGAGAGCGCTTCACTTGAAAGTGGACTGTGTAGGAATAGATCACAGATTCAAAAGTTTGTTTGGTCGTATGATCAAACGAACTGTAAGAATTTCACACGTTACACCTTGTCGCCTCTTCGACTTGGACTATGCTGCAGTTACAGAATTGTAGCTTCACAAAGGGTACTAGATTACTCACAGTAGGGAGGCTAGGAAATTTTTTTTGGCATTTTTTATTCATGGCTGGAGCCCACATGTGTGACAATCTGGTGCAATTCTATGGACAAATTTTCTGCACAAGTGTCTTTTCCCCTTCGACTAAGATCTTCTCTAAAAAAACCTACATAAAAGCGGATAATATGAACTCAAAAATTATATGGAGTTTTGCTAATTGTTTAACCTCCTCACAAGAGCAGAGCCCACGACCAATAAAAACAGCTCTAGAAAAATATTATAATTTTACAGTACGCGCTAGAGATAATGACTAGAAACTTCTATAGATTTATTATCTCATAATTCAACTTGACGAGGAGAGAATCAAAGTGTGATCGATAAAAGAGCACGATGTATTGTCTCTACCTTTTCAAGTAGGAATCATCTCTCAAGTGTCATGACCCTCCGCTCGGTACTATGATATCAACAAAATGTAGAAATGCTTCAAGGTTTTAGCACAGAGAGACGTTGGAAGCAGTTTCAGCTCCTTTAAACTTCAAATGATCCAAGCAAAACATCTAACATTAACTTAAAACTCCAAAAGCCTTACAAAATGGATAACGTCTTACAAACCATAATTCAATGCAACACAACCAAATTCAACAGAAGATACAAATCATGTTTCAGAGATTCAGTTGGTTAAATAATTCAGTTCGACAAACAAATTAATAACAAAGCATCATCAACGTTGAGAACGCGCTTAACAATAGAACATGACCCTCTTCACATTATCTCTAAGCTGAGGCAGGGGTCTAACAGCAGCATGTGCTGCAGCTGACCTTGTACTCCTTGGCCCTGGACCAGCACCTTGACCAGCAGCCCCACTTGTCATTGACCCGCTGTCCGATGTATCCGGCTCCATGTAGAAGCGTGCACGAAAAGCAGCCAAATGGGCATAATATGCAGGAGACACTGTCAAGTATAAGAATAATAAGATCAACAGTAATACACAGCCCCTATTTGGTGGGAATTAAAATCAGATTTTCAGTAAAATTTTATAAAAGTTGACGAAATGTGTGGTTGAAAAGTTGTGGAACCCATGAAAAATGTGGTTAAAATTAATTGTTAAATTTAACTTAGATTAAAACCTGAATTTTATTCAGTACCAAGCAGGGGCATTGTTTATACACGAAAAATTAAAAAATAAATAAATAAATAAATTATGGAAAGCCAATGAAAAGAAACCTACCAATGGAAACAGAGCGTGTGCACCTCGCATATCTACAAAAGATGAAAATGAAACCAATAAGCAATCATACCTTAATATGCTTTTTTGGTAGGTGGTATTATTCAGCTTGGAATAGTTTATTCTACTGTCTGATCCAATCCAGAAAAAAAACATATGCTAAGAATTCATAAGAATGGAGGACAAGCACTTACGTGTAGCAAAGGTTATTGGTAAGTGACTGAAGAGCATCAGCATTGAATTTGTTTTCATCCCATAGGACATGGTAATGAGCTGGCCGGCTTGTACCCTGCAGTCAAATGGATCCTAATAAGCAGTCCATCAAGAAGAATGTAAATTTCAAATTAGGTAGAAGTATGGAGAGAGACCTGTATCCCAGCGTGGCTACAGAGGTAGAAGTCGAACTCGGTAGGGTGGCAGATCTTAGAATCTACGACAGTGCCTGAAAATTTCATAGAAATAAGAAAAAGGAATGGCATTTTAATAATTAGTCAACCATGAAAAAATATAACTAACAGGAATCAAGTCGAAATGTATACCGGGGAGTATATTTCCACTTCGATCAACTGCACGCCTGTCGTTATGGTTATTGGGAAACAACCTAGTATGATGACGTTTCTGAACCACAACAAAAGTAACAGTGGGCTGATAGTTTGGTTCCAAAGATGCACATGCCTGAATCGGGTTGAACAAAAGTAGCAGACAAAAATATTGGAATTAGCTTTCAAACATATAACCTTAAAATTGTAAATCGATTCTCAGACACGTAAATGACAACGCAAGAAATCGACAAGGAAATTTACCTTACGGATTGCATCGAGTTCATAAAGCAACACTTGATAAAACTGCCCTTCACTGACACTGTCCCTGGAAAGGGAGAAGATATGGTGACGGGAAAGAAAAGAGACGTGGAGACAGTAGAACTGTAGAAGGGATACTTCACAGGACACAGGACAGAATAATAGAAACGTTATTCAACAATACCTGTAGAAGATAATTCGTTGTGGCTTCTGTCCAGTTGCTCTACGGAAAGAAATAAGCAGTTCTCTGAATAACAGAAGCACAAAGATGATTACGAAAAGGTTGGATTGCAATTCCCAATAATTTTAAAGCAGACGCTCACTATATTGCTAGAATGCACCAACATCCCTAGGCCAGCGAGTCCGACACAAACCCATTGCTGACACGTGTAAGAATCACCAAGTGGCATGTCAAAATTATCTTTGATTTTTACAATTAGACACATCAGTAACACATTGCAATCAGACACCCACAAAATGAAGTAGCATGTCCAAGATATTTTATTGATTCTGAATAGTTGAACAAGTTGCTCACACAATGCCAACACACTAGGAGATAAACCGACACGTCCTCGACGAGTGTCAAAAACCCTAGGTGGCATGTCCTAATTATTTTTGGTTTTGTAAGGCTAGACATGCCACCGACACATTAGGGATACATTATCCACATGCTGGAATTAAGAAAAACAAATTTACTTTACTATATAAAAAGAAAAATTAGCCTGTAAGAATGCGTCAGCATATTTTTGAGAAATTTTGTGCTGGCGTATCAGTGTCGAGTCATGTCTTAACACTCGTTTCCACTTCGGTGCTTTTTAGCTATATTGTAAAAAAAGAATCAAGAAACTTTTATTTCGAGGCGTTTGCATACTTGATCATGCCACCAGTAATAGTCCCTCTAACCGGATCTTGCCAGGTTTTATACAAATCTTGAATCAACTCTTGCCTATGGGCTTGAGCACAGACCAAACCTGCATATTTTGTAACTTCCGGCCAATCTTGGGAAGCAACAACCTCAAAAGAATGCTAGTAATCATAAGACATCTCAACCGAGAAAAAGAAACATTAGAGGTCTCCACCTTGAAGTGGTCAAATAAAGCTTCCTACAGCAGCAATGGATGGGCTAGAGTCCTCGCCAGGGTGGGGATGGGTAACATCAGCACCAAAAATGATAGTAGGCCGATCACTGACGAGGGGTATGCGCCTAGAGATGGCATCAACCAGCACTGTGTTTCTCCCTCCAAACTTCACATTAATCTTCAGGGCCACATTGGCAAGATACTGTGTGCTCATCTTGTAAACATGCTTCTGCAAACAGCAGTGGGAGACAATGCCGAGATCTGTCTCACATATCCGTTTTAGATCACCTGTGCAAACGACAAACGAATAAAAATATCAGTAAAAGAAAACACGATCCACATTCACAAAGAAGTGATGGCATGTATGTTTGAAAATTCATCCTTTCGTACCATAGAGAGATCCATTATTATCAGGTAAAATAACAATTAACAAGTCAAGGTCTTTTCCATGGGGATGCAGTTTTGTCATGACATCATGAAACCTAGATTTTAAGACTCTTTCCACCCGATCAGGGCGGCCACTCACAACTGGCAAGAAAGGCTCCGGATTGTCAGCCTGTAGAGAAAAACATAAAATCAGAGAGAAATAAGACTAAGTAAAATACTGCAAGACATAAGTGATTTATCCTTCTGATAATTTTCGAAGGGAATTGCGGCTCCACGATATTGACCGAAACATGATTTTGGAACCTGGAATTAAGTCATTAATAAGAAGAAGTGATGAACTTCCTTTGTCGGAGGAAGGCTGGAACAATCCTGTCATTGAGTTAGTAGAAGATGGTTTCATTGACTTGAAGAGTCTAGAGCTAATCCTTCTGGATTCTGAGTATCCTATTGATGCTACAGGCTCCATTCCAAGTGGCATCTTCGGCAATTTAGAATATCTGGAATCCAGGGGTATGCATTATTTGAAAGAGATACACAATGGAAATCTTCCAAGGATGGAACATTTGACAAGGGATGTTTCCCGTCCTGCACTATTCCACAACCTCAAAGAAATTACAGTAGATGATTGTGCTAAAAGTAAAAGAATGTCTTCGGAGTCAGTTGCAAAATGCTTGTTTAATCTCCAAAATCTAAGTATATCGTCATGTCCGTCGTTAGAAGAAGTTGTTTCAACGGACACACAAGAAAATGAGATTACTGAACCTCTTTTGTTCCCAAAGCTGTAAAGTGTCAAGCTTTGTGATTTGAGTAGATTTGTATGCTTCAAATCTCAACCAAATGCATTTGTTCTTCGTCAAGCATTGCTCAATCAGGTAATGTATATATCATTCCCTTTGTATGCTAGCATCTCAATTCTGGAAAATAAGGGAAATTAGGAAAACTGATGTTAACTTCACTTATTTAAAATTCCATACTAGGATAGATGTAAAATCAGTTAGTCAGTTTTTATAGAATGGCTTAGCTTTCTTAATCTGGGTGTATCATCTCGACTCATCTAATCCTTGTTATTGTTGACCTGTAGATTACATTTTACGATGAGAACTTTGGCTTACACTATTAAGTGAATTTCACAGGTAGAACTGCCTGGATTGAAGACTCTGAATATTATCAAATTGGATCACATGAAAAAGCTACTAAGCATGGAGAAAAAGCCATTTGGATCTTTAAATATATTAAGGAGCACGAGAGTGGAAATTTGTGATAATCTAGTGAACATTGCACAATCTAATTTGATTAAACTATTGCAAAATCTTGAAACTCTTGCAGTAAATGTAATATTTGACTTGAGGGTCTAAATGTTAATAAAGACGATGAAGAAAAAATTAGTATGCTTGGTCAACTAAAATCATTATACCTAAGGAAGATGATTACTCGGTGCACATTATGAGGATGGATCCTAAAGGAATCTGTCTTTCAGAATTTGAAATGTCTTGATGTTGAATCAGGTAGCAGGTTGAGGTACTTATTCTCGGCTTCTATGATTAACTCGTTTGGGGCTTTAGAAACTCTATACATCAGTTTTTGTAGCAAAATTGAAAAAATCTCTGGAAGAGAAAAAGAAAAAGAAGAAGTGGTTAAAGAAGGAATAACTAGCAAAATTGTGTTCACTGAATTGAGGAGAATAGAACTAATCGGTCTTCCAAGATTCAACATGTTTTGCTCTCATAACCATGAACTTGTTTTCCCTTCACTAGATCGATTGAAAATTCAACATTGCCCTGAGATGACAAAATCTTGTTCGGGACATCTAAAAGCAGTTAAGCTTAAGAAGGTACAGATAGGATACAACAAATTTATTGACATTTCAAATTCCGTTAATTAGTGATACAGCTGTGTAGGATTTCTTCAATATTTACATAATTTACTCTTAACATTTATGCTATAGTTATATTGACAGCCAAATTAATATACTATGTTTTTCAGGTTCCATACACAATGCACGAGGAGAAATTGTGAAGAAAAGAAGAAACAGAAAGTAGAAGAGGGAAGAAACAATGGGGTGGGTTTTCAATACCTGTTATTTGAGTCATTTGATTAATCAATATAAATTCGCAACATCTCCATGATTCTCCTTCAAGTAGCCATTGTGAATAAAAGACAGAGAAATTACACTGATATATGGCGACAAAAGAGTATAATCATGGCGATAAAGTCCATATTTTTTTTGCACATTTAGCTCTAGGTCACCCTCCTCCTAAGTATGTACTATTATTACTTTCATTTTCAATATGTTACATTTATTGGATAAATTGTTTAGTGTTTTGAAATGATTTGAATGTGTAATTCTTGGTAGATCGAGTTTTTTTTTATGTCTCATAATTTCACAAAATTTTAATACAATTCTTTGCATAATACTTTATTCTTTAGTCTTCTGCCAAATATTTGTAGATGTATAAAGGTTGTTAATGAGAATAGGAAGAATTTAAGATGATATATAAATGTTGTTACGAGAAATTGAGATCTTCATTTTGGAATGAGTATAACAAGAAAGTAATTAGCTATTTAGGTAGAAATGATAATTAAAATTACCTTAAAAGATATAATAATAGCTAAATACTCTCTTATTATTTGCTTAATAAAATTGATCAGTCATTGTAAATAAAAATATTTAAATTTTATTTAATATATTGTCCAAATTCTATGTTCAGTTTTTCAATCAACTCAAGTAGTGGGAGAGGATAAGAATGGGAATCCTTAGCCCTAATTCTTCTTTACAAATACGAGACTTTGACTCTCAATTAAATATACACTAATCTATTCACTTCTTTGATATCTTCTCTTCTCTCTAATTTATAAGAAAATTCATAATACTATTTAGGGGGTGTTTGAGAGACATCTTTATGTAAAAATGCATTTTAGAATAGTAATTTGATGGAAAGTGTGTGGTTGAAAAATAAGGATTTTATTTATTTATTTATGTGTAATATTATTTTAATAAAAAATATGTGGTTGAAAAGAAGAGAGAGAGAAATGCATTTTAGAAAAAATAGGTACCAAACGAGGTCTTATCATGCAAACTAATTTTTTAAGCAAATAAATTATCTTTATTTATTCGATCGTAGTAGTAGTGGGAGAGGATAAGAATGGAAATACCTTATCCTCTACCATATACATGCTATGAAGGATAATCAAGTAATTTATTTTCAAACCATTTGGATAAATACTAGAAGAAGGAAAATGAAAATCAAACACTAAGAAAATGATCCATCTTATTGATAATTTATATGAGACTAATAGCCATCCAAGTTATTTAAGCCATAGTCCCATCAATTTTCATTGATATCTAAATTATAATTTTTTTGTACTATTAGTGAACTTGTGAATAAATATCCGACAAAGTAAAAATATCAAGAAAATGGATTCTTTTCATGTATTATGAATAGGGTCGATTAACATTGCTTACAAAAAGTCATTCTTTCAAAATGAAAAGTTTTTATTCATATCTCGAGAATAATTTATAATCAAGTACGAGCTTATAATGAGGGGGATGCACCTAAATGTGCCTTAGCTTCCACTACTTCTTTTGTTCCTAAGATGCCAATTAATTCTTCACTGACTTTGTTTTAATTGTTTCCCTCTTGTTATTTGTTTAAATACTAATAAAAATTATACCAACCAAAACACCAAATAGACAATGACACAGTGCAAAACAAGGAATTCAAACGAAAACCTTAAAAACACGAATTTTGGAATCCACCAAATTATGAAAAAATTAAACTCGCTAATTTTATTAATGTAAGATAATAAAAAACAATGAGATAACCCTTCATTTATAAAGATTTACATGAAAGCCTAGTTTAATAGGACTAAAACTAAAAATGAATTTGAAATAAACCAAATGACAAAAATAACACTAGAACTTAAAAAAAATAATAATAATAATTCGAGGCCTAATTTGGATGATCGAAATCCATCGTATATCATGGCATAGAGATGGATTTTACTTGTATCGTCGTCCTCTTTTCAAAATGGTATTATTGGCCCAAATTGAAATTCGAATGCTTTCTCTGTACTATTACTTTTTCCCATTTTGATCCAACTTTTTTCCATCCATTCAACAATATGTCCTACATTAGTCTCTTCCACTTCCCAAATCAATAATGTAGACATTGTTGTTAATTCGCTTAAACATTTTAAAGGGTCCATACTTTCTTGATTTCAGCTTATTGTAAATACTAACGAGAAGTCTCTCATTTATCAGAAAATGCCATTACTGAATCTCGTTCTTGCAATTGTTTGTCCAGTCAATGTGAATCTATCGTTGTCTTATGCTAGATGTTCAACAACCACACTCTTATTATTGCCCTTGGGCAACTTCACCAAATCCACAACATGTTAAGGAACCTCTGTATATACAATAGTAAAATTGGGACTTGCCCGTAGCACTATGAGCTGCATTTTGTATACAAACTCAACCTGAGGTAATGCAAGATCCCAATGTTTGGGCTTATTTCCACAAACACTTCGAACCATATTTCCAAAGGTACGGTTAGTGGCCTCTGTTTGTCCATCAGTCTGGGGACGAACAATGTTGCTTCGATTCAAACTCATCCTAAACAACTTTCTCAAAGTAATCTAAAAGTGTCTCAAAAACTTTGTATCCCGATCTGATGTGATAGACTTGGGAACATCATGCAATCGAACAATCTTCCTAAAAGATAGTTTGGCAATATTTGATGCATCTAAAGCCTTTCGAGAAGCTATAAAGTGAGCCATCTTGGAGAACCTATCAATCACCATAATAACAGAATCTATACCTTGTTGAGTATGATGTAGTCCCAAAACGAATCATAGGAAGATCTTGCCATATGCCCTGAGGACAAGAAGTGGCATGTACAACTTGGTGTTCTACACTTGACCCTTTGACACCTGACAAGTATAACATTTGCTGACTATAACTCCATCATCTTGCTTTAGTTATGTCCAATAATACCTAGCTTTAAAATTGGCTAGTGTCTTGTCACGCCCCAAGTATTCACTTAGACCTCTACCATGCAAATCTTGAATCGAATTTCCACGTAGAGATAAAATGGGAATAAAAGGCTGGTTGCTTTTGAATAAATATCCATCACTAATATAAAATCCACCATTGATTCACAATTCATACACTTGATCCAAACCTCCTTAAAGTCAAGATCATCAGCATACAATTTCTTCAAGCACTCGAACCCAACAATTTTCTATGACAGCGTGACCAACAAAGGGGCTCTTCGACTAATGAGATTTACATCT